AGTCGTATCCTCTCGACTTTAATTTACAAAATTTGCACTAAATACTTAATCATAAGCTTGAATCTTTATATATCTTCCAACTCTTTCCCATCTCCCCCATTCCATCTTCCTCGAGAACGAAAGCTTCGATATCGAACAATGGCGATTTGCCCTTCTCTCATCACAATGCAATGCTTCATTGTTTTGGTTTGTATCTCCATTTTCAGCTCCAGTTACAGCAAGTGACCCTCCTCTGGCATTGGACTACTACAAATCAACATGTCCCAATGTGTTTGATCTTGTGAGGAAAGAAATTGAGTGTCATGTCCTCTCGGATCCTCCCAGGGCGGCTTTCGTCATCCGGTTACATTTCCATGACTGTTTCGTTCAGGTTAATGAAATATCAACGCATCTATGCCTATGAAATGGAAGAAGGGAAAAAAAACGGTAGAGATTTACAGTACGAATATGGTCTTTTGCAGGGCTGTGACGGGTCGATTTTGCTCGATGATACAATCGACTTACAAGGAGAGAAGAAAGCCTCGACAAATGGATTAAATTCACTAAAGAGTTTCAGAATCATTGATAAAATTAAGAACAAGCTTGAATCTGAGTGCCCTGGGATTGTTTCTTGTGCCGATCTCCTCACCATTGCAGCCAGATATGTTGTGATTCTGGTATCTAACACAGCCTTGTACACTAAAAACTTGATCAAATTTCGAGTTCGCCTCATTGTCTAATTATTTGCAGGTTGGTGGACCTTACTGGGATGACCAGTGGGACGAAAGGACTCGAAAACAGCTAATCCTAATCTCGCTGGCCAAAACATTCCTACTGCAAATGAGGGTCTTCTCGGTATCATATCTAAATTCCTTTATCAGGTCTCTCGGTGACGGACGTGGTGGCTCTTTCTGGTAGTTTGTTCTTATGAGTCTTCTATAATGGACATAGATAATGCCTTGAATTTTCCAAAGTAATCAACTGGGACTTGATACGTGAATGACTTGCAGGGGCTCACACCATCGGAATGGCGCGTTGCGAGAATTTTCGACCTAGAATCTACGGAGACTTTGGAGCAACTTCAGGGATGAATCCGTTATCGGATTCATATCTCGGCAAATTGAAATCAGTTTGCCCTGCAATAAGTGGATCAGGAGACAACAATGTGACATCAATGGATAATGTCACACCGGATCTTTTCGACAATTCTTTCTACCATACGCTTTTGAGAGGTGGAGGGTTGTTTAATTCAGACCAGGAATTGTATTCCAGCGTATTTGGGATCGAAACCAGAAAGCTTGTTCATAAATATGTAGAGGACCGTCGCTTTCTTCAACCAGTTCTCGGATTCGATGGTGAAACTGGGGAATATTACAAATTCGGATCATTGATTTAAATCGCGATCGCAGTCGCGTTTTCGGTCACGTAACGTTTACCGTGATTGCGATCATAGCAGGCACTATTGCTGTCATAGTGGGTATCACGGAGGGTGCTGCTATCGTTATTTCGCGGGTGCTATCGCGGCCGCGGACCGCTATTTAAAATCCTGATTTGGATAGCTTTGTCAATGGTGATGTGAGGAAGAACTGCAGATTTGTAATGCATTGTTGGTTTGCGTCAGGAAGAAAGAAATAAAACTTTTTCCACAAGTTACTGTTTTCATTGAGTTGAAGAAAAAAAGAAGATAATAAGTTTCCTTGTATACCAAGGAAAGGAGATTGAAGTTTCTGTATAAGATTCATTTCAAACCATCCATACAAATATAATTAACAGCGTATTTTAAAGAAAATATAAATTACAAATTCTATCACTCAACTTTCTTTCCATTCCTTTTTTAGTTTAATTTACTTACAAAAATGTCAATTTAATCCTATTTTGACCCGTAGTCATTAAATAATTAATGTGTTATGTTTAAGCATTTTTCTTTTAAAAATTATAAAATGACTCCAAAATAGTTTTCGTTTTTTAAAAAAACTTTTAGTCTATGATTTCTCGATAATGAAACATCTTCCCTAATAGATGTATATCTTGATTTCACGTTGATAGAAGGATAGAAATTATAGATTAGACTGAAATATCAGATTCTATATGAACATATTTGAAGAAATTAAGAAAAGCAAAATATACAAGAATTGAAGGATATATATTTATTATTCTTTTTTAGTTTTTCCGAATCCTTGGTTACTGTGAGAAAAATGAAAAAGTGGAAGCGATGCAGAATAAAATTTCAAAATGTATATATATATATATATATATATATATATTAATTATTTTACCGCAATCTATATTCTTCACGTAAGTGGGATGAAGATTGATCGGGTCAAATCAAATAAAAATATTTTGAATTATTTAAGTTGATTAGTTCTATTTTATAGTTTGAAATTGATTTGAATTTTTTAGTCGAATTTTTAAGTTTATGTTTAAATTTAATTATAAATTTATAATATTATGATACTATTTGATTCTAATTTAAATGATTTTTATAATCATATACAATACTTAATGTTTCTTCATTTTTCTCATATGTGATATACATATATTATACAGAGTCGAGGGACTCGATGCAAATTTGAAAACTAATCCATTAATTACTAAAATTTAGTGTTTTCCAAGTTACTATTCTAGTTGTATTTTATAACTCGATTTGAACTTAAAATTTTTAGAATTGTGTCGAGTTTATGAAATTAGAACTCGATATAATTAGAGCTAAATTTTTTCAAATCAAATTTTATTCACCCCCACACAAAGACTCGTCTTATAAGACATGCTTTCGAAAGTATTTGTCACGTAACACGTATTTATCTTACATGACAAAACAAACATTAATCTAAAATGGATGGTATTTTTTACATTAATTCTCATTTTAATGATATTTAGGTGGAGAAAGAGGCCGTTGATTGCCAATGATGTGTATACATATTGTCCAAAGGAGAAGGCATAATTGGGAATAGCGGAAGAGCTAGTGGATGATAAGAAGTGAAGTTTTTGATATGACCTCTTAAAGATGCCATGAACCATAAAGGTAGGCATTGAAGAGAGTGACATCTTCCTACTTGTTGGGTGGGAAATCAATTCCAAATCCAATACCATGCATGCAACTTAGGTTTTGACTGCTTCCGCAAAGAACAAGATCCTGGATAACGAATAACAAATTAACAACTCTCTCAGTAAATGGCATCAAATGGTCGGTTCGAGTTTTACCACCTTGATTCCTTGTGTGCAGATAAAAAGTATAAAGGCAAACCAAGTGAAATTGAGAGAGTATGCTCGCTTGCTTCTTGCCTTATCGTATGTGACCGATCCTGGAATATTATATAACTTATTTCGTTTCTTCTTGGTGGAACAAGAACTTGAGACGCCATGCACTCCAAACAGGCAAAGCCTGATTCACGAGCAATTTATTTGAAATACCAAAAACATAAAACCATAGAAATTACTCGAGACCACGTGCTCTCACACACAAAGGACAACGCATGCGTGAGGAGCAATTTATTTAACTAGAAAACAACATAAGACGTAACATAATAAAAAGAACTAATCTTCCTCCTCGTCATCTTTCCAGCAGCATTTCAAAGTTGATCTGGGGGATCCACAGCTCCCAGCGCTGAACTTCTGGTACGTAATGGATCCACCAGTTCCGAGCCCTTCAATGTTCAACTCTCCACAACGGTATCCTTTAACATCAAGGAGACAGATCTGCTCAAGTGACTGTCCTGCATCAACGTGCAGAGCAACAGAGAAATCGCTCGGCTTGAAACATGTCAGTACCCGTTCAACAAGCTGGTTCAGATCCAGCTCTTTCAAGTCATATCCCGCAGCTTCAAAACTTGCATAACTAAACCATCTTCAGGGGTAACATGGATAGTAGAGATTGCAACATCTTCAATCGCATTCATAGAATAACCACATGGATCAAACTGAAAATCACATATGTCTGACTTTGGAAGAATCTTCCTTATTCCAGAATCAACCGTCATCATGGCTGCAGAAGGTGTTTGATCTTTGTAGAAAACAGAAGCTCTATCCCTATCTAAACCAGTGAGACACATTTCCAAAGTGTAAACAAAATCATTATTAGGAACTGATTCAGCAGTCGCAGAATAAACATGCCATTTCTGTTTATCCAGTTCACCCATTACATAAGCTTTTCTACCACCGCCAAGATTTCCAAAGTATTCATCAAGAATAGTAACTTCTTCAGAGAAAGATCTGTGAGGGAATGACTGGGCACCAGGGAATATAAAACTCCCATGAGTATACCGAACAGATTTCACAGAAAGGGAAAGACTGTCGGCGAGTTTCAAAATGGGAGGGATAGCAAGAAGCAACTTTGTGGTCCCGCAAGTCTTGATAATGATCTTATATGGATAAACAAAGAGACTGGACTCAGAAAGAACATAGGAGTCCAAAAACTTGTTTGACAATGAAGAAACTATGGTGCACTCAGCTGGACCTAGAAACTCATCCAACTGGTCTTTAGAAAGTACACGAAGACCTTTCCCTTCAGGATCACTGAAAATGCTAGGCTCAAAAAAGCAATTTCAAGCCTCTTTTCATATCCCTCAAATCCTATTGCAGATACAGCCATTGCGATTTAAAATAACCAAACTTTATCAAATTCCCAAAGTAAGCAGTCGCCAAATGAGAAGACAAATGTAAAGAAACCAGTTGCGAAGAGAGAGGAGGAGCCTGTAGACAAACTAATATAAAACTAAACTAATAAAGCAAATAACAGTTGATAACCACTACTAGTGGTAAGACGGAACACTTTTGAGTATATCAGGATGGCTTGCGAGCGCACTGTAAAAGAAGAAAGAATAATTATTAGTATTGATCCAAATAAGGCAATAGACTTCATGATATGCAATTTTCAGAGAAAGGCTACCACTTACGTTGGAGTAAGCAGCAGATCTGAACTTCTTGATTCCACCGTTTGGTCGTACGTCTTCAATGCTGTAACCGAGAGGAGCTTCGTAGAATAAAGATTTACTACTACTACTAGACTTCTTTTTTCCACCTTTAGACTCCATTAGAACATTCAATCGACCTGCATAATCATTAAAAACATCAGATATATGATACAACAGATAATTTCAACCAGAACCCAATAACTGAAAAGAAATTACAAATCTATGTTTATATTAATAAAGTTAACTCAAGTGAAAGGCATATCAAACAGAAAATATCTAACAATAAAACAATAAAACCAATCTAAAACAATCCTCCAAAATATTCATAAAAATGACAGATTTAAGAAACAAAAATTTAGATCATTCAAGAATACATTATCAAGAAAATGTTTAAAGTATAGATCATTCAAAAAATATCAACCTTAAATTCAAGTTGCATGCAAAAACATAAAAAACAACAATAATCCTAAGCGAGTCATCAATTAAAGGGGAAAAAAAAAACCGATACTTACAATTAAAAAAATTAAAAATCCTTGATCAATCAGTGACAAGAAATCAACTATCAACCTCGTTCAGATCCTAAGAGAAACACAAATAAAAAAACAGCACATGAGTTTGAACAAAAGAACATTCAGATCTGAAAAATACTAAGATCAAACAAAGAGAAATAAAATACTTACAGAATATGATAAAAGTTCCAACGAATCGATAAAGAAAAGCCTTTTCAGATAGGAAAAAAATTATGATAATCTGAAAGGAAAATATGAACGAAGAGTTTTGTATCTGCAAGCGGCTCACGTAAACTCTCGAGTATGAAAAATGAATGACGAGGGGCTATTTATACAAGGGAGGTAGGGCTTTTTCTCGAGTAAAGAGATACAGCTGATAGTTGACAAAGTTTGAATTAGCCCTGGGAACGTTCCCGTAATTTGTTTAGTTTTGTTCTTTTTACTAATCTACCTAGGGAATGACGCTAGTAACAGCTGGATTGCATAATCAACTTGGAGATTTGGAAACGTGTTTTCACGGTCATGGATTCATGGACCTTATGGGTTTTTTTTTAATTATTATAATTTATAAAAATATTGGAATATTCTTCAAAGATATGTTCCGAAAATTAAAAGAATAATATTAGGAATGATTTTAAAAAATAATTGGATTTTCGAAATAAAATTAAAGTATAGTTGGGTGACTAAATACATAATTTACCCTATTTCAATTATATTATTAATTATTACAACTTAAACTTCGAAGGACTAAATTTGGAACTTTTTAACTTTACACGGCTACTTTGTCATATAAAGAATAAATTGTGGATAGATTCGGTCCCCAAAAGTTTTGTGCTGAGTGCAATAAAAGATTTTGTGTGGGGGACTGACTTTACATTAATTTGAATTGATGATGAGGATGAGATTCTCCTTGGCCCACTCTTCTTCATCTACGTGACTCTGGACCTCTAATTTCCCTTATGATTGCTTTTTTTTTTACAATTATTTTTACCTTTTTAGGTAAACCACGTATTGAGTATATAAATTATTAATTTTAGTTCGTTTTAGTACCTAAATTTTTTATTTTTTCAAAATCATTTATAACGTTTAATTTTTATTTCGTTTTAGTTTCTTATTGTTAAAATTTTAACAAGTTTAATGTCTAAACTATCACTTTTGGTCCGTTTTAGTATCTAAACTTTTAATTTTTTGAAAACTTAACGTTAAATTTTAAATTGGTACAAAAATAAAACAAAAACTATTTTTTTTAACGTGAGGTACTAAAATGAAACAAAAACTAAACTTTAAGTATGGTTTTGAAAAAATTAAAAGTTTATATGCTAAAACATATCAGAACTGATAGTTTAAGTACTAGAAGTATAATTTACCTTACTTTTATTAAAGTATTGATTATTTTATTTAAAAATAAATTTGATATATATATTATATAATATTATTTGTTTTAATTATTTTAATATTTTATGGTGCTTATAAAATAAAATCAATAAAGAATACTTTTTTAGTAATGCAATATATACCTTGCAAATTATATATACAATTGTTTGTCGAAATCTCTAACATAACAACACTCAAAATTTTAAAATCTAAATAATTAATCAAATAAATAAATTTGTATAATCTAAATGTTACGTGATCTTTAAATAAAAATAATAATTTTATTTTGAGGTAATATCATATTTAATATTTATATTTTTAAAATACTTAATGATATTTTTATGTAAAAAATTTAATTTATTAAAAATTAAATTATAATAAAAAATTACAATCATAAACGTAAATGAATGCATAATTATGACATTTTATAGCCATTGACACAAAAAAATTATCCATTTGAGATTATAGATGAACATTCAAGGATAAAATTAAAAATTAATCAAAAAAACTCGATAAATATAAATAATAACAGATCTGACTGTATCGATAAATGAATCACAATAATGGACCAAACTACTAAAGAATACCGAAATCACATATCAAAATTGAACATCGTGAGAAAACTATCTTCGAACGTGAATTATGTATCCAAATCTATTCAAGTGTCCAAAGAAGGACAAATAAATAAAATAACAAATCAATGTCATTTTAAGCAATTGAAACAACATCAAATCTAACCAAGCCAAACTAATAAAAAGGACCCAAAACGTATTAATTTTTTTAAATTACTATTTTTTAGTTCAATTATAAAATAATCGCTACACTATTTATTGTTACTAATTACCGTCAAATGTTACACATCATATTAAATATAAATGAAACCAAAACTAAATTTATATTTTAAATTTAAAAAATTATTAATATATATACTGCATTAAATATTTAATCATCCGGCTAACTATCACATGCCATCAACACCATCAAACACGTAATGACGCGGCATATCATTTTAATTCTAGTTTGACACATAAAATTATTGGTACATATATTATTAAAGAAAAGGGTAAAGTATAGTAATGGTCACTGAACTTTTCTGAAACTTTCATTTAGTTCCCTAACTTTTAAAACTTACAATACAGTCCTCCAACATTTAATCTGTTAGCAATATGGTCCCCCAACATTTAGTCCGTTTGTAATATGGTCCCCAATGTAACTGTTGGGGGACCATATTGCAAACAGACTAAATGTTGGGGGGACTCTATTGCAAGTTTTAAAAGTTGGGGACCTAAATGAAAGATTTAAAAAAGTTCAATGACCATTACTATACTTTATCCATATTTATAATGGTGCTCCCACTTCCATTATACCTACATACAAAACAAATACAGTCTCTTGTCCTTTTTAAAATCCTCAATTGTTATTTCATTAAGATTGATGGAAATTTTCTTTGTGAAAATGGACCCAAGACTATTTCGTTCTTAACGGTAAACCATTTATTTTCTCTGTAGAAATGGAAATTTCTCGAGCTGAAGTTAAGCCTTGAAAAAACAAGAGTTGGGGAGAGTAATATATGAAGCAATGAGGGGTCAGGAGCCACGTTCCACTTCTTCCTGTGCCGCCTGCAAGCTCTTGAAAAGGAGGTGCACTCCCAACTGTATTTTCGCACCCTATTTCCGATCAGATGAGCCGAAGAAATTCGCCAAAGTGCACAAGGTTTTCGGTGATAGCAACGTGAGCAAGATCCTGATCGAAGTGCCGGAAGAAGAGCGGGGAGACACAGTGAATTCCCTGGCGTACGAGGCCGAAATAAGGCTTAGGGACCCGGTCTATGGTTGCATTGGTGCCATAGCTTTGTTACAGAGGAAGATGATCCAGCTTCAACATGATTTGGCCCTTGCTCGAGCATGCTTGGCTTGGTACACCTCCGCTATCGGAAGCACCGATGATGATCGGGTTATCACAGAGCCTTTCGGTGGACTCTCGGCTGATTGCGGATGATGTATTGACAGTTTTAGCCAGAATCCTTCATACGAATTGAATCAGGAAGCATGTGTATGATTTTAGCCAAATTCCATATGTATAAGAGATTTCTGTCTTGTTGATTGGTAGCTTGATAGTGTTTAAACCTATTATCTATCTCCTAAGATAAAGTTTGAATAATACAGGGATCAAAAGGGTTTTTGTGAAAAGGTAATGGCAATGTAGGACAGAGTGGCGGCTTCAGTTCGGCTAATTGTGCCGCCCATAAACACATGGTGGTGGTGTTCATAAGCCAATTCTTACTCATTTTCTCAAAACTCATATGATAACCCTTCCTACTGTTACCCTGTGGGTCGTGTCCCTGTCCTCTCTATCCTTGCTAATCATTCAAATGTATTGTAATGTCGAATGTGAAATTATATTTGAAATTTTTTATACATCATTTCAAATATTATATTATATTATTTTATAAAAATATAATATTATAGTGTTTTGTTGACAAAATATAAATTTGATTGGGAATAAATCTTATCAAATCATCTTTATTTTTAACATGTTAAATTTTTACGAATACAATTTGATATTCATATTTTCTATAATTAAAAATAGGGTAAAGTATAGGAATGATCATTGAATTTTTCTAAAGCTTTCATTTAGATTCCCCAACTTTTAAAACTTGCAATACAGTCCCCCAACATTTAGTCCGTTTGCAATATGGTCCCCGATGTAACTGTTGGGGGACCATATTGCAAATGGACTAAATGTTGGGGGATTGTATTGCAAGTTTTAAAAGTTGGGAGACCTAAATGAAAGCTTTACAAAAGTTCAGTGACCATTACTATACTTTACCCTAAAGAAAATGTCATTTTCATTTTACAATAAAAATTTGATGCGTGGAATTTCTTTTATAAATTCACACGTCTTGAATAATAATAATAATAATAAATAGTTTATACATGGAACACCAATAAAATTTGAATTGAATTAGTAAAGGTTGAGATTTTAAATCTTGTAACAACATCCTGGCTTAAGTTATACTTTGTGTAAATCATATATGGATTTTTTAAATTAATTTTAATTTTAATTTTAGTTACATTTTTAATTAGGTAAATTACATAGTTTTTTACTGAACATTATTCTCTCTTATTTTACTTTCTGAAATTTTAATTTTTTAATTTACTTATTGAATCTTATAAATTAATTTTTTTCACTCTAAAATGACATGGCTTTTTTTTATTAATATTTTTCTATGACTTGACATATTCTATTAATATTTTATTATGACATAATATATTTTATTAACATGACCTTTTTTTTTGGATTTATCTCCATCGAAAACTCATGACAAATTGCGAGCGTGTCCGACTTTGCCTCTCTAACGATGCCTCCTGCAATTCTTGGGGGCCGCCTAAGAAACCATCATCCACGCCTTGCGTGACTGCCCCAAATCCAGCGCATTTGGATGCAAGTCTTGCCTAACTCTACACACTCGACTTTCTTCCAGGATGACCTCGAGGCTTGGATCCTCTCTAATTTGAATAGCAACTCTAATGCCCTAGGGAATGGAACTGCTTTGTCTATGTTTTTTGCCTCTCTGACATGGAAAATTTCGAAACGACGAAACGACATGCTTTTCAAGGGTGTCTCGCTACCTTCATCTGGCGTTCTCAGATGTTGCCATCACAGGCGACGTATTATGGCCTCACAATCATGTAACAACCCGAGGGAAAAAAACAATTTAAATCGGTGTAATTAAGTGATTAAATTAAAATTTATGAAAACTTATAGGCCATTATCCCCTAAATTTCCCCTAAAACTGTCTGCATGATTGGTGTTATAAGCGTGTTTTCTGGTTTTAAACCAGAAAACACAAATGATAATTGCTCAAATTTCCTCCTCTTGTACCCTTACTTCCAAGCCCGTTTCCGACGTCATTCGACCTCCAATCGTAAAATTGAAACCACCATCGTGTTCATCTTCGACCCGTGAACAAAACCCAGTAAATCAATTATAACGAAACGCTGTCAAACGACGTGAATTTCGAGTCAAAGTCTCGACGTTTTTTTAGCACTACCGCCGAGAAAATCTTAAATTAATCTCCGATCATTGATCGGTTTTCGACACCCTCCCGCACCATCGTGTTCCTTGTGCCGTTTCGAGTCCGCCGGTGTCAACCTTGGTCTCCGTCGACGGCGGCGCGTGAGGAGGTGGAGCAGTCAAAGATTCGGCCGAGTTGAAATCGAGCTCTCCGCCGTTCAAAAATTTGAACCGATCTTTGTAAGTATCTCGAAATCGCTCAAAATAATTTTTAGAAATTTTTCCGTAATTTTTAGACCCTCGGAGGAGGTCTCACGCGCCACACGCGCCGCCGCAGTGAGAGTGAGTTGCTGAAAACCGGTTTGACTGGTTCCGACCGGTCTGACCGGTCTGACCGACCCGACCCGACCCGACCGTTGACCATTGATTGTTGACCGTGACCATTGACCGTTGACTTCCTTTGACCAAAACTTAAAATGGCTTTGACCGACCCTTAAACGACCGTAAATATTTTCCGAGTATACCTATTCTGATAGTTTTCGACGTACCAAATCCGTTTCCGAAGTCCGTTTTACCAAATTCGAACCCGAAGGCCTCCAAATCGACGGTCAAAGTGGTTGACTTTGACTTTGACCAAGAATTTAAATTTTTGAAAAGGCATATTTTATGTTTTTCGACGTCCTGATTCCGAGTCCGCAATCCGTTTGGACAAATTCAAACCCGAAATCCTCAAAATTGATAGTCAAACCCTGAAAACGTTTATATACTTAAGAATTTAGCTTTGAACAATTAAGTAAGATTTGGGGCTGATAAATTATTATTGTTTGAAGGTACAAGAGACTCTCCGGATCGTTCGACAGCTCGACCCAACTCTTCTAGATCAATTAAACCACGTGTGCCAGTATTCACCCATAAGACCCGTAAATTTTATGATTTTAGAGATTTATTTATGTTACCCATAAGTAATATAGTATTATTATAAAATAGGTTTGAAAACTGTAGCAGAGCGTGGTGAAACCAGCAATCAGTAGATCTACTATTTGAACCTATTATCGATGTGTGTTCCTTAATTATTACTGAACTATTTTATTGGTTTTAATATGAGGTACACTGAGTTCTTTGGTTACTGTTTTATTGATGCACCAATTTAATGTGATGATTTATGGAATTTGTGTCACGGTGCAATTGAACTTTTGGATTGAATTACAATAGTATAGCTCTGATCAAGCTAATAAACAGAATGAGCCTAATGTGACTCTTGGGGCCCCAAGATACATTAGGTTGGCTTCCCTTGCTGTGTGCTTAGGGTAAACTATATGGACTTGGACTTACGGACCTAAGGATACAAGATCTAAAGCTTATCCTTAGGTTGGCTTTCTTTTTGATGTGTGCTTAGTGTAAGCTATATGGAAAATAGTTTTGGAAATTACTGATGGTGTACAAGAAAAGAGTTTAAACTATGATTTTCAAAAGTTAAACTCTTTTATGAATTTATGAGATTTACTGGACTATGATTTGTTTATTGTACCTATTGTGATTTTATGGTAATGTGGGACAACTGAGTCTAGCTCACCTTTCGAAAATGTTTTTCCCCCTTTCAGATACTGTTGGTTAGATACCCCGGATTGAGCACTTGGAGGATCAACATATCTCTTGAAGTATATTTGATTGTAATGTTTTTATCATTCAGGTTGACTTTATTTTGGTGACATGAACCTTATTTTAAAGTATTGGATTTTATAGTGATTACACTTTTGCTATTAATATTCGGTTTATCGTGATTTTGATTTTTAAGACATGTTTTAAATTAATTTTTTTTACTTATTGGTATTATATTTATGAGTTGGGTTTTGATAGTATAATATCATGTCATTAATAATGTGATTTTACAATGATTGAATAACGGTTTCAGAAAATGTCTTTAAGAATCATGTATGTGATCTACTAGACTTAGTCGAAACGCATAGACCGGGTCTAGGGGGTTACATTTATTGGTATCAGAGCTTTTGGTTTTTAACCCTCGGACTGTGTATGAGTCCACATTGAAAATACGGTTTTGAAATATTTTACAAAACAAGTTACAAATGCCATGTCACAAAGTTATTAAGATTTTAATTGTGTTCGAGACTCCAAGTGCTTATCTAACCCTAAGTTTTATCTTCTGTAGTAAACTTAAGATCCATCAAAATGAGTGCTAGACGTGGTCGTCGAACTAGCCGTGGACGAGGTCGAGTGGCTAGATTTACAGATCCGATCGATGAGATACGGGTAGATCCCCCACCTCCGATAGGTGATCATGCTCCTACGACCCCAACGAATCTGCCTCCTGCCGCTGGTATTGGCATGACTACACCGATCATAGGAGCGACGAATATTGAGTCAGAGTCTACCGGAGTTGCATTGGATGAGAATTTTGGTAGACAATTTCTGCAGTTAATACAGGGAGCAGTCAGAGCTACTGGTGTTATATCAGAGGTTCCTATTTCACAAACTTTGATTGCCAATGGAGTTAGAACTTTTGGGGGACAGATTGGAGGATCTCCTACTGAAGCTGAGGATTGGCTCCAGGATACAGAGAGACGCATGGATCAGTTGGGTTTGGACTCAACTAAGAGATATCTGGGTGCTGTAGCGATGTTAGATGGCAATGCCTACACTTGGTGGGAGTCAGTGACTAGTAGTGTTCCTACCGATCGTTTGACCTGGAATTTATTTAAGGATCACTTTCGGAGCCGTTTTTTGGGAGAGCGTTACTTAGCTCAGAGACAACAGCAGTTTCAAGACCTGGTTTAGGGAGATATGATTGTTTCTGAGTATGAGATCGAGTTCTTGAAGTTGCTGAAATATGGATTCAGTATGGTACCCACTGAGAGAGATCGATGTCGTAAATTTGCCCTTAGACTCAGATACGAGCTGCGTAGGCAAGTTGTAACCCATAAGGATGAGATTTTTGATGTGCTGGTGGGCAGAGCCAAAGATGCTGAAGAGGTGGAGGTTTTAGCTTCTGGTAGAGAGCGTGTTGATCAGGAACGATCTAAGAAATTTTCAGGCCCTATTGAGTCATCAGCATAGTCCGGGAAGAGGACTCGTAATTTGCCCCCTCAGAGAAGCAATACACGTTTTAGGCCTACAACATCCTCACCTTTAGTTGGCAGTCGAGGCGGTTCCTCGTCTTATTATCATGGGCCCCTCTGTGAGTGTTGCGGTAAACAACACACAGGAGAGTGTCGTAAGAAGATGTGTCTTTGCTATCAGTGTGGATCTAGTGGTCATTATCGGAGGGATTGTCCTCAGCTAGCTTCGTTTGAGCAGACCGCTA